CAGCTCCCTCAGCTGCTCCTCCCCACACTTGGGCTCTAGACCCTTCCCCAGCAGCTCCGTTGCCCTTCTCTGGCCACGCTCCAGCCCCTCAAGGTCCTGCTAGGAGTGAGGGGCCCAAAACTGCCCCCAGGATTGGAGGGGTGGCCTCACCAGTTCTCAGTACAGAAGGACAATCTCTGCCCTAGCCCTTAAGTCACTGATGTGAGCACCAAGCTGACCACTGACTGTTGGAAGATCTCCAACTGCCTTGGGATTTTTTAGTATCTCTTGAACCTTCTCTTGGCAAGACAGTTGGTGAGATGAAACTGGATGATTAGATATGGAACCTTCTATGATTTAATTCACCTGCACTGTGACCTCCCCAGAATATAGTGTAAACTGTGAGTGCTGTCATTAATAGGAGGGATTAAGAAATGGATGGACTTGGCAGTGGTTTACTGGGGGGTGGGGTGAAAGACTGGAGATTTTGGAAAGATTGTGGAGTTTTCTGAGTTCAAGCTGGTGAAATCTTCATGTTTAGTCTCCTTAAGCAGAGCTGCTCTGACTCATCCTTCATCTTCTCTCCAGGATGCCCTGGGAAAAGCTGCTGCCACCTCCCTCCGCTCCTTGTACGGCACCAACTTCAAAGTGGGGAGCATCTGCACTACTATCTGTGAGTATTGGACCACTCTGGGCTGTCCCAGGACAATGTCCCTGTCCCCTGCCCCACGGTCTGTCCCTCTTGGAGGCAGTGCTGCCTCCCTAGAGCCACCCCCACCAGTCAAACACCGGCGATGAGCAAAAACCCTGATCCTTGTCCCTCAGGGATTGGGACAGCAGGACTCAAATCCCCACTCACCCCTCTGGCTCTTCACCCTTTCCCTTGCAGACCAAGCCAGTGGAGGCAGCATCGACTGGAGCTATGACAATGGCATCAAATACTCCTTTGCCTTCGAGCTGAGGGACACGGGGCGCTATGGGTTCCTCCTGCCTGCCAAGCAGATCATCCCCACGGCTGAGGAGACCTGGCTGGGGCTGAAAACCATCATGGAGCACGTCCGAGACAACCCCTACTAGATGCTGGGGTGGGAATCAGCAAGCTCATAAATCCTCTTCCCTTGATGATGGCTGTTAATGATATGGCTCCTGGCTGAATAAAACCCCCCACGTGTGTCCTCCTGCAGTGAAACTCTTCTGTCAGAGAAAGACTTTAATGCTCCTCTTGTCCTCTGCAGCTCTGGATGGAGCTTGTCCAGGGAAGGGCAATGCAGCTGGTGAGGGATCTAGAGCACAAGTCTTGTGAGGAGTGGCTGGGGGACTTGGGGTACTGAGCCTGGAGCAAAGGAGGCTCAGGGGAGACCTTCTGGCTCTGCACAGCTCCTGACAGGAGCCTGGAGCCAGGGGGGGGTCGGGCTCTGCTCCCAAGGGACAAGGGACAGGACAAGAGGGAACAGCCTCAAGTTGCCCCAGGGGAGGTTTCAGTTGCCCCTGAGGAACAATTTCTTGCCCTGGAGGGCTGTGGAGGCCTGTGCCAGGCTGCCCAGGGCAGTGGTGGAGTCCCCACCCCTGGAGGGGTTTCCAAGCCGTGGAGATGTGGGGTGAGGGACACGGGGCAGTGGGGACCTGGCAGGGATGGGGGGTGGTTGGACTTGGTGATCCTAAAGATCCCTTCCAACCAGAACAGTTCTATGATTCTATGATCTCTGTATGCATGGTAACCCCTTCAGATTTTTTTGGGACACAGTTGTGGCCCAGCTCAATGAGACAGAGTAGGAACAGTAGCAAGAGGAGGATGGAAAATGTGGCAACTTGTGTAGCTGTTGAGATGACAGAGTGACCTCTGACAGAGGAGGCCCTTCCCCACCCAGCTACATAAAGTCACCTGAGGGGCTTGTGTCAGTGCAGAGCATGAGGAGACATTAAATGTAAGAGCAGAAAGATGGGCAGGGAGAGGGGGAGATGCTTGTCCTGTAGCTTGTGACTGATGCAAACTCTCCTGCCTTGTACCCTCTGAACCTCCAGCTCATTTAAGAAACACAAAATGTGTTTGCTCCGAGCTCCACCAGCCCTCAGCAGTGTCTTGTACTCCTGCAAACCTCCTCCTCCTCTCAGCAACCCCCTCCTCACAACCAGCCAGCACAGAAACAGCTCCCAGCAGGGTGAGGGTGCAGGTTCCCTGGAGCATTTCTGAAATGTGTGGATTGAAATCTGCCCCCCCAGCAGCGTGGGCACAGGGCAGGGAGGGGATCCTGCCCCTCTGCCAGCTCTGGGAGACCCCCCTGC